TTTCTCCTTATTATTAAAATATTATTAAATAGTCAAATATATATAATAATAATAACTGATGTAGAATTCATTTTTTCGACAAATCTCTTAATTTCATCTGTAAAAATTCGAAATTGAAAAGTGAATCTATTAGCCCTCTGGTCTCCCTCTTTATTTCAATTAATTAAATAATATTTTTTTGTATTATGTACTCATTTCATTTTCTAACAGTTTTTTTTATCGTCAAATTTGATTTGAGTCAAAACCACAAAGCGATATACTTTAAAACTTGTAAAAAAATTGTTTCTATCCTTAAAAATGGTTTTTTTTATAATTACAATTAAATGCAACTTTTAAAGGACCTGTAGGAAGTCTCTGAAAAATTTCAATTAGATCTGGATGAACAGACCTACAATTTGAAAGAAGTGATGACTTATTTTAACTTGGAACCTTATTAAAATCGACCTTGTTAAAATCGAATTCGAAATTTGGTTATTTTTTCACATTAATTGAGCTGTATTTCTTAAGATATATATCATAAAGCTAAATGAATTATTGCATCATATTTAGCAACTAAAAAAAACATACAGTACCACATTTAAATCCGGATTAAGCTATTTTTGCATCAAATCAAACATGTATTAAGGAAAATCGAAACTTTGATTTAAAAATCGTTTACTAGCGAACTCTAAATCTTAATATTTTTTTATAAAAATCGATCAATGAATTAATGTCTTTGTAAGCCATACACTGGATCTTGGTGTGAAGTATTTCCTTTATTTAATTTCTCATACAAACTCCAAACATTTCGATACTAGTTCGGATCCTTTTCAATGTCAGAAATTTACATTCCTGAAATCGTTGTATATCCTGATACACTATACAATAATAAATGAAAGCATTACAATATATTGCTAATAAATACAGAACATTGCTTAATATTTAAATTAATATATGTACATAAAAATTTAATTTAACTTACATGAGTTTCGTCAAAGGTAATGAGAATGACATGTTAACATTTTAACATGTTAAAACGACAGTTATAATTCATTTAACAAATAAGCAATATGTATCGGTAAAATAACTAAACATAGATAAAGAAAACATTGAAAAGAGGAAGCTTTATTTGTTAATCAATAGGTTGTAAACGCTGTCTAACAGTTCAGTGTCAGTCAGTGTAAATTTAAATTATTTTTTTTTGTTTGCGAATAAAAATCATTTCCGAAATAAGATTTTATTACAGAACGTTGTTGTGTTCTCCAATTTATATGATTTTTGTGTTCACCTATCCTCGTTTTCAAAGTTACTCATCTGATTCACAGACGCATCACAATGCCCGCAATTCATTTTGTACACCACATTGTTATGGAGGATAGAAGGAAGTCTGTCTTTATGGATTCTAATAAATCTGCTCAACTTTTTTATCGACACCTTTGTATGCCATGCTAACTACCTTAACGCTTAATGAAATTCTTGATTTTATCAAAAATGCCTGTTATGTATAGTATTGTAAAAAATATTTGTTTCCTTTTTGTTTTTGAACTATTCTCTGCATTCTTGTCAGCATTACTGTTTCATACGTTAAATTTTTTATGTGGTCTTTTTTTGATGGAGAAAATCAACTCTAATAGGTATCCATTATTTAACAAGATTTTTATGATTTTATCAAAATTCTTTTCATGAAACTTTGATTTAAATAAAAAGAAGAGTGTGATAGTAACAGAACTCTATCTATCAAGCCCAACATTATTAGTATTTTTTTATTTATAGGATGCTGAGAATAAAAGTTCAAAAAACGCTCTGAAAATGTAACCTTCTGGTACCAATCATAAATGACCGAATCCTCTTTTATCAAGGTATTGATCCTCTTTTATCAATAACATCCAAAACGTTCAATCTGTCACCCCCCCCCCTCCCCTCCTTCAATGTAACTAGTCTCGGATGGTAATTGTTGAACATATTGCAAAGCTCGTCAATGTATGTCTTGTCAATTGCAAGAGCAATGTCATCCATGTAGCGTACATAAAACAAAGATTTGATTATTAATTTATTTAAAATGTCAGATTCTAAGTTTTGAAGGACTATATCCAATATTATTGGCCATAGCGGTGAAACCATAGACACACCAAATGTCTGTCTATAAGTTTTGTCATTGAAGCTAAAATAAGTAGAATCAAGAACCAAATTTATCCCATTTAAAAACTCCGTCTTAGTCAAACACGTGTTCGGTAAAGTCACTAGATTAACAAAGCATCGCAAATTGCCATTTTGGCTCCATGACGCGTAGTTATTCAAAACTTTAGCCTCTTTCGCAATTCTTACAATTTTCAACATAGCAACCGAGCATTTTCGTTAATAACAGAATCAGGTTCTTCTTCCAGACTCCTGTATGAATTTTCGACTTTTTAACAGAATCAGGTTAGGATAATATTTCGACGCTATTTGGTTCCAAATGCTAATTCAGTGAATTTTCTCATCGTGGTACTTTGTTAATCTAATGACTTTGATCGTTCGGTTGTATGAGATGCCATCTCTTGTTAATTCTCTCCATTACCAAATTTGTTGAAACGTTGGTAAAAAGAGATACTACTTCCAGAGAGAAGAGTGTGTCATTATTATCAATTTTGAGATTTTTTTATATGTTCTTAATGAATTGAAAACTATCTATATGACTATTGGCTGCTATTTTTTTAGAATATTGTAGAAACGCTAAGTTGTGTAAAAGACTTCCAATGAAGGAAACTATAATGCGCAACGGGCAAGGCTTATAAACCTTGGGAACACCATATATTCGTGGTAGAATTAGATTGGATGAGTTTAAATATTTATAATTAGACTGACTTATCATTTCTAAACTTCTCAATCTCTTCAACATATTTTTCAGATTAGTGATTATCTTATTCACCGGATTACGTGCAACTTGTATATAAGTATTGCAATCACTAAGCATTTCTTCCATTTTTTGATAAAAAAATTTATTCAAAGCCACAACCACGTTACCTTTGTCCGCGTGAGTAAATAGTATGTCTTGATTATTTTTAAATTTTTTAGTTTCATGAAAAAGAAACCCAATCTATTTTCCTATGAAAATTCTACCTAGTTTTATATTATTATTATTAATAGAATTTTATTATTATTAATAGAAGAATTTTATTTCTTATATCCATGATGTTAGGAATTTCATTTTTCTTGTATAATGTTCTATGTTTTTAATGAAATCTATGGTAGCAGACTACAACATTGCATATCGATAAACAAAAATTATCATCTGGTCGTAATAATGCCTGTACTTTATTCGGTATAGAAATATTAAACCAATTATGAAATTCACAAACCAATTGTTTTTAGGTTGCATTATGTCATAATTTATATCTAACGTGGGAGAAAGGGGGGGCAGGAGAGGGACGGGGAGAGACGGCGGGAAAGGGAGGAGAGAGGGAGGGAGAGACTAGATTGAAAATCAAAATAATTTAAATAGTTTTCGAAATTTTTCCTCAAATTTTGACACCTTATATCTTTGAAAAGAATAGCACTCGCTCGGATACACTAATGCGCACTACTGTATATTAAAGGCATTGTACACTGATCTAATCCGAATGTGAAACATTGTAAATGTAAACATTGTAAATTACAAAATACATTTTTATTATAGGTATTTGTAGAAAATATATAAAACTATCTGCGGTATAAAACGATGTATGACATTAAATGCAAACGTAAACTTTAATCACTAAGATTATTGACTGCGTTCAGAAAAAGCAGCTTTACAACTATTATAAAATTCTTTAATATGTTGAGCTTGCTCTTAGTTTTTCACTAATCGGGTCTAAATGTAATAAACGAATCATATTCATGAAAAAAATTTACAACAGGTGCTTTTTTTGGTGAATGCAGCCATTGATTAAACAAAGAATTGTTTTTATTGTTTTATAACTCCGCTACTTTTTCAATAAAACTTCGAGCTCTAAATTTCACAAGCCTGTAGTTTTTAAGCGAAGAAACGATCCATAGTTGGAAGGTCCTACATTATCAAACAGCACAATAAAGTGTATTGAGAATTTTGTGATTGAACTGTTTCTATTTACATTTAACACATTTTTTCATTAATTTGTGTAAGACGACTTTAATGCACTGAGTGCGCATTAGTGTGTATCCAATTGTTATAAATCGTTAAAAATTACGAACATAGCCGTATAAAGTTTTCGTTGTATAAATTTGTGTGAGAAATCACTCCTTAAAATCTTTTGGAATAGTTACTCTGTATATATATTTTATACATAATTTTGTATAAAATACATGTATAAAATACATGTAACATAACATATATGAAATATATGTTATACACATATAATTTCATTAAATGATTTCATAAAAATTAAGTAAAGATAGTAAAATAAAAATATCATATATCATTAAAAAAAAAATAAATTTGTTATTTTTTTTTATTGACATTCTCAAACAATTAAATCTGTCGAAAACAGATTTTACAAAGTATCTGCTATAGATTTTATCTGTAAAAAACCAATAAAAATATAACAAAATCAATTAACAGTATATGATAGAATACAAAACTGAACAGAATGCCATTTCGTAATCATTTAAGTGACACATTCCATTTTAATGATTACGAAATGATAGGTATTCTTTTACTCAGTTCTAAGTGTCGAAATATCAGTTAACATTGACAGAGAATGTTAATGCAAACTTAATGTCAGTCTGTTACAATATTTTATTTTGTATCTGTTAACAAATAACATATTATTAACATTTAACTTATAAGGTTAACTTATTCTTAGAAACATATGTTAATAAAATTATTATTATTGCAATTTATAATTAATAAATTGTTATATAGATTTTTATTTAGATAAAAAAATCATGTTTTACAGTGATTAAAAAACACTTAAATTATTAATATAATTAATTTTATAAAACTAATTATTTGTTTTTAAAAAACAATTTTTCAACTTTATTTTTATTGGCATAATTGCAAATTGTAATAAATATTTTTAATATACCTCGTGTGGCAATTTAGCTGGGCCAGCGCCAAAATTGATTGCTCCTTCACGACTTTCATCAGCCATTATTATATTTGCAGTTGACTCGTGTGACAAACAGTTAAAACAGATAAAAGTAGATGAGAGACAAACAAGTGGTATCAGGCAGCAATCGTTATCAAAGTTGATTTGTCTGATCCGTGGAGGTCTTTTCTTATCTGATTCTTCTATGTATTTTTTAATTTTCGAGATAGATGTAACTTATGAGACACGAAACGTCTGTGTTGAGTTTTTTATGGAGTAATTTATGTGTTCAACTGTACTAGGCGGACGGCATAAGCAGAAAACGGAAAAGCAGAAAGCGGAAAAGCAGTGGTCAATCAGAGCTGATAGTAAGTAGTACAAAAAGCTGAAATTGTAAACTACCAGCTAGAGTTTTGATGAGTTGCTGCTTTTCCGCTTTCCACTTTTCCGTCAAGGTGTGAACGCATCCTTAGGAAGTGCTGCCATGGGAACTTCGGAACGTTCATGATTGGTCGTGACTTCATTCCGCCGATTCCGTTCAGCTAAAATGTGTTTTCCTATATCCCATTGAGCGGAATTTGCGGAATGTGCAATTAGCTTTGATCAATCGCAAAAGTCTTCCAATAGATCGCTTTTATTAGATCTACCAGAATAGCGTTTGTCATTTGCTCGCATTAGATTGCGCATCCGCAAATTCCGCTCAATGAGACATAGGAAAATGAATTCCTGCGGATCGGAAATCACACATCATACAAGGACATTACTCCAATTTTGTTTTGTGTACTCATTTTGATTTTAATTTACATTTTCGCTTTTCTGTATATTACGTATACAATATTCGTGTTCAGGGGGTCAATTCTGTATCTTCAATCAAGATAAAAAATATATAATTGAGCAAATTTACTAGGTGTTGACCAATGAAATTATCAATATTTCTAGTAAATTTGCTCACTTTTGTAATTTTCACCTCGTTTCAAGATACAAAATCGATCCCCTGACTATTGACCTCCGTATTTATGGAGATTTAGGGTGAAATCACATGGTGCGGAAAAAGGCTGCGGAATAGAGAATGCATCATTGAAACAATTTGCGCTATTCGGAATAATATGGAATACCGCTGATTAGTTGCTTCTATGACGCATTCTCTATTCCGCAGTCGTTTTCCGCACCGTGTGATTTCACCTTTATTTATTTTCAGGGTTATGTATGTTCAGATTCCATCCGAGTGTTACCCAGGTATCACTTTATTCTTGTTATTTACTAGAGAGCCTATAATCAGAGTGGCGCTATGCAAGAAATGACATCATGTTTTAGCGAAATTCTGCGAGAGAAAAAGAGATATATGGTCTCAATCTATCCAACAGATTCAGTCAGTTTTAGAGTTAGGTGCACCAGCATTGAACGACATAGATACGTAAAGGTACATTGATAAAGTTATCGAATTTATTTTAGAAATATGGTTGGATGTACAATACCGTTTTGCAACAATTCATTAAAAAAAGGATATGTTATGAAAATAATTCCGAAAGAACGCCGAATGAATTGGTTAAAGAGTATAAATGGCAAATATAAAAATTGGACACCGTCAAAAAATTCATCTGTATGTGAGGTAAAGTAATTTATTCTTTATAAATAATGTATTTAAAATATTAAAATAAAAATGTAACATAAAATATACACATTGATTATAATATTTGAAGACACGGTAGTGTCTTGGCACTAAGTATATGTATAGT